ACTCGCATTCGGACCATTTTCTTATCCGGATTCTTTATCAGTCCCTCTCTTACTTCCAGCTGGCAACCTGAAAGAGTCAGTCTGCCCAGGCTTTAGGTGCCTGAAGGACGCCCTCCCCTTGGTACATACTTTCGAAACATATGTTCTTTTCTTCGGTGCGACAGAACCAGGCAATTCGGCTAGTGTGTCCTCCGCCATTAGGACCTGGTTGCTCGGTTCTCTAATTTCAGGCCCCGGTTCAAATTTAACCTTCTTGTGATACTATTATAGATCACTACTACTTCCTAACTTGGGACTTCCCAAATGGGTTTTCAGTTATGCCGGTTCCTTGGATTTATTGCGCCATTGCTCCTATTACTAGATGGTATAACCGAAGTTACAGATTAGATCCAACCAATAAACATAGCCATTAACTGAACACAAGCCTAATTTTCAAAAATCGTCATCCATGAGATTTGAACTCTAGACCTGCCACTTGGAAAAGGTAATAACTAGACCACTACACTAAGTTGCCACACCTTGCTATTTATTAATATATAGGTTTAATAAAAATTATATTTATATATATTTAATAACAATAATAAAATTATAATATAAAATTTATTTTAATGTATTTATGAAATTATATAATACAATAGTCACAACAACTATATTATATATTGGCGACAATGCCATGACTCTGCTACAAATTCATAATATCATATTCATAAAAAATCTAATTGCTATAATGGCCACGATTTGACTTTATAGATCTATGCATTTTACTGCGCCTAAGAAAGAAAAGAAAAATTTATTTTGATATTCAAAAAAAAAAGACAGACCAAATACAAAAAGAACTGGCAATTTAATACCTGGTCGCTAATTTATAATTTACAAAATTCTAGTGTCAAATTAAAAACTTAGAAAAAGAAAGCAAAGTTAATTTTTAATAACCAAAAAAGGGACCAAAATACAAGGAATGAGTACTTAAATTCAAGACCCATCACAATTTCAACACTTGGTCCCATTTCACCCTTCCCAGTGAAGACAAAGCTATAAAAAAAAAATATGTTAGTAACAGAATTTAAAATAACAAAACAACAAGAAAAAAAAGCTAAAACTAGTACTTATTTTTGTACTAGTTCTTTTTGGGTTACAGATTTCTAATTTTGGCTTTCTTGTCACCATTTTACTTTTCTGATGAAGTGCAAAGCTATAAAAGAAAAAAAATATTAGTAGCAGAATTTAAAATAACAAAACAACCAAGTAAAAAAAAAATTAGAAGTAGTACTTATCTTTATACCATTTAGATTTAGTTTTCCAAATCACCACACCATTTCACTTCTTACTGGTGAACTATAGAACCTAGAAAAAAAGAAATTAGTTAAAAAAATGAAAAGTACAAAAAAAAAAGTACAAAAAAAAAAGCTGGTATTTAGTACCAGTTTTAGTCCAAATTTCCGGATTATTCTATTTGGTGAACTACCAAAAAGATCCAACGTAGTGTTCTTTCAAAGTGCACTAGTTAATGCTTTTTTGTTTTTCTAAGTCAATGTAGTGTTCTTGCATTGGCTAATACTGTTTTTTTTTCGATTTAAGTTTATTATTAAGAAGTCAACATGGTGTTAACATGGTTAAGTGGGTTGATAGTTGACTCCATACATTAAAATTTTTACTAGTAATATCAAATTTATGTAATTTGATTGGTTAATCTTAGTGTCAAATTATTGACGCACTATGTCTCCAGTATATAGAGTCAAATTTAATTATGTCAAAAATTTTAGAGTAATCTACAAATCTATACATATAAACTGCTATCATTTAATTACCTAACCCCAGGTTTCTTCACCATTTATATATAGATTTTGAATATCATTCTTGCAAAGAATACACTGACTACTTTAGGATTTACCAACCATTTCTGGCTAATTTATTCTTAAAGTAAACCTAACAAAGTGGTACATATTCTATACATATATTTATTTGCATATTTTATAATGGCTTTTTAATTAGTATATATTGGCCTGCCATTTCACATATATATCTCATGTTATCTTTTAAGGTGCTGCTATTCTATAGATGTTTCTCAAACACCAATTTTTCTAATTAGGCATTCATTATATACTCTTGCCCTTATCTAGTTTACAACAACCCCGATATTTATATTCAGACTGTCTTTTTACCCAAATTCTTTATTGGTCTCTCTCTTATTTCCAGCTGGCAACTTGGAAGGATTGGTCTATCTAGGCTTTAGGTATCTAAAGGATACTCTTCTCTTGGTTTATACTTTTGGAGTATATATTTTTTTCTTCTAGTGCGACAATCTGGCGGTTCAGCTAGTATATACTCTGGCATAGAACCTGGTCACTTGGTTCTCCAATTTTAGACCCCGGTTCAAATTTAGCTCTCTTGTAATATCATCAAAGATTACTGCTACCTCCAGATTTAGGTCTTTCCAAATGGGTTTTTGGTTATACCAGTTCCTTGGGTTTATTGTGCCAAAGCTTTTATTACTATATAGTATAGTTGAAGTTACAGATTTAGTTCTAGATCCAACCAATAAGCATAGTTATTAACTGAATACAGGCCTATTTTTTTAAATATTGTTGTCCTTAGGATTCGAACTCTAAATTTGTCACAATTAGACCACTACACTAAGTTACTATATCTCTATTTATATTTATTTTATAAAATATTGGCTAAACTATTATTTAATAAAAAGTTACTAACCAAAAGATTACCTTAGCAGTAAAAAAAAAAAAAATTTTGGCTAAAATTAATTACAACTATAAAAAGTTTTATTAGTAACACATTATTAATTTTTATTTAAAACTTATTGTACTACTAAAATTATATCAAAATAATCTCTATTTTTAAATAGTTATAATGAATATGGAGATTATGCTAAAATTGAATTATGCTAAAAAATAGAGTCTTTTTTTAAATTTATAATACCTATATATACTTTTTAAATAATAAAACTACCACCTAACCCTAATCTAACTCTAAAAAAAAAGATTACAAAAAAGGTTTTAAAAAAATTTTACAATTTTATAATAAAATATAAAAATTTTTTAATATAGTATAATTCAATTTTAGCATAATTCATTACAATGAATATTCAACAGATTTTAGCTCTATTAGTATAACCAAATTGTCAAAATATGCATCTATATAGAAAAGAAATTTAAAGAGTAGTTTGCTTCTAAAGAGATAAAAAAAAAATTTTTCTATGCATCTTTGGCCAGATATGTTTAGTTTATATATCTCTAGCTCAAAGCTATGCCTAATTATATAACTTAATTATGGTTAGGATCATATAGGATTAGGGCAAAAACAAGTTGTATAAGCAAAATTGTCTTCTCAACACTTTTAATTAATATCTCAAAATAGGTTTAAATAGCTGTTTTTGATATTTTTGATATTTCTTTACTTTTTTGCACTTTTTGTTGTTGTTTTGTTTTGTTTTTCTGGACTAATCCGCAAAGATCATCCTTCATGCTACATGTAGAGATGCGGTTATACTGGTATAATAGAAATGGTAGTACAATTTACTTATTTGCACTAGTAATACAAACTAAAAAAGAAAATCACATTTGTAAATAAACTAAGAAAGTTTAGGATTAGGATGTTAGGGTTAGAGTTAGTGTTAGGGTTGTGAGCTTTTAGTAATAATTTGAGTTTTTATATGTAAAATTTCATTTCTGTTATTTTTTATTAGTCTATAAAGATCGATTTAAACACTAGTTTTTGAGTATTTTTTCTTTTTTGATATTTGTCTTCACTTTGCTCATGTGTCAGGCTGATCCAGAATCATCACATTTTACGTTTTCCGATTGGCCATTTCCTTTTTAGAGGTTTGTATTACCGGCACAAATAAGTGAATGCAATGGTAGTATAATACCTAGGTATACTACTTAACAATATGGTATAGCATGGTATAACTGTCTCAGCTTAATATGATTCGGAATTTTTCAGAATTTTCTTGGGGAAACTTTCGGAATTGCAGATAAAGCAATTTAATTGGCTAACCCATTTCTATTATTGGTATTATACCTATACTTGTGTGTATAATACTGGTATAATACTGGTATTATACCAACAGTATAATACGGTATAGGTATAGTTCGCATCCTTAGCTACATGAAGACGGCAGTCACGTGATTATTTTGCATTTTAATTGGCTTTTAGCTCCGAAATATTATCGTTAGGCATCTGATGCCTAGAAATACCCAATAAAAAAAAATCGAAAATTCATATTATTGTAATACAAAAATATAGCTTGCTTATACAATATATAAAAGTATTTTCTATTAGCTTTTAATAAAAGTTGTAGAACTAATTTTCCTAATTCTAATGGCGGTAAAATCATTAAAATTGGTTAGATAATTTATCCAACGAAGTATGAATCAATGATCATCACGTAACTAATCTCGAATGAGAACTTTCTACATTAAAAGACATCAGATATGGTAACAGAGTCGAAAACTTGAAGCATTTATTTTCTTTATAGTGAAAAATTAGCTAGGTATTAATGTTGTAAATTGAAAAAAAAAAATCATGTCCACATTTATTTAGTACGTGTACCAATAAACTATTTTATTGCACTTCGGAACTTAAAAGGAACTATGTTCAAGATCATACATTTCAAAAAAAGTTGGCTGTCATATGCATTTATATAATTTTCAACTTTATTTTCTCCATAATGTAGATTCGAATTATCCATTTATGTTTATGTTATCACCTTGATTCCTATTACCTTAGAAAAATTTTTCGTGAAATTCCTGACATTCCATATGATGCATAGTTTCATATCCAAATTATTTATCAACTGTCCTATAACATTAGAGGATTGTATCGTGAAAGAAACCGATATTACTAATAGGGTATAGAAATGATACTATATAAATACTCACCATATAGAGATTTCTGCACGATTTAAATGTTTCAATATTAACAATTTATGCTTCGCTCTTCAGGTTACACGGCAAACCTATATAAAAAAATATCAAGAAAGAAACTTAACGCCAAAAATAGTAAATCCTTTCAATCATTTCATCTCTTTCTTCATTTTCGGGTTGTAATCTTCCCCAATATTTGTTCACACAACGATCGCACATTTCATATCGCTTTCTAAAAGGTTGTAAATGGTACTGATCCAATTTATGTGGCTAAGGTGCAATATAATGATTAAATCATAATAATAATAAAATCTTAATAATAATAATAATAATAATAATAATAATAATAATAATAATAATAATAAATTGATTCATGTTTATAAAATTCTCACCTCATATTTGAAGACCCACTCTTTTAACATATCAGTCATATAATCATCATCAGACAATGGGTTATCAGGTCCGCCAAGAGCTTGTATTTCCCATAAAGACGTTGGTTTCTTTCTGGAAGCATCAGGTTTAATACCATTTCCATTTTCATTACCCCCATCTAATTCCATGAATTGATACTCATTTTGTCTCGCAATACCGCTTGGACAAAGTGAGGATGTAAGCGGGTAACCTTCAACAATGTCATGAATAGTAGGTTTGTCGAAAAACATTTTCTTGGCTCTTTTTCGCGCTTTTTCTATACTTTCAGCTGGTGCGAGAATAGGTGTAGTATTAAGATCGTACACAATTCTCTTTTTCTGATTTTTATATTGAGGCATCATGGATCTTGACAAAACTTTTGCAACCTTAAAGTCATCATCGGAGTCTTCACTAAATTTTCTTTTTCCGATTTTTTCAATTGTTGAAACAGATGTAATAATAACATTACTTTTGAAATCATCATCCTGGTCAATCCCCTCGAGAGCAGAAACTGTATATGACTGTGAAACAATAGTCGTTGATTTTGCAGCAACAACGGATTTCTCTTTTGGTGCAGAGGTAAAATAATCAGTTAATTGTGTGTCTTTAGTGTACATCGTCGACTTTTCTGTCAAAACAGGTACGGATATAGTGGCTAACTTTTGTTTCATATCTTTCAACAAAGAAAGTATTTTTGTTGCAGAAAATTTTTGTTTATTGCCACACCTTTTAATATGTGTGATTTTACTTTTCACGGTTTTATTTTTACCAGGAAAGCTTTTTAGGCAACATGGGCAATTTGTGACAAGGGAGAACCATGAGCAATCATTATCAATAAACATCTTATCATCAGGAGAATTAGATTTTTTCACTTGCTTAGATTGATTTGATTGATTTGTCTTAACAGTTTGCTGCTTTTCTTGCTCCTCAATGTCATCAAGACACCTATTTAAATGTGTTTCTCGCGTAACGATATTAAAATTTGTAAGATCTTTACCGCATATAACACACAGGCAAGGCTGTAAAAGATCATCCTTAACACGACGATTTGACGTTGTTGCAGATTTTTTGATGATTGGCGGCGAATTATCTTTTGGATCGTCATGATTTTTGAATTTTTGATATACATTAGCTGACTTTTGCTGAATTGGTGATAGATTGTTCTTTTCATGAGAATAATCTGAATTAGATGAATTCGATATTGCAAGTCGAGAATCCAGGCTAGTGGTACTGGATATTACTTTATTCACGTCAACTTGCTCTGAGGCATATTGCGTTGTATTTTCTACATTATTCGAATCAATAATAGTGATTGCTGGTGCCGACACGTCGTTAATTTGACTTTGCACTGAACAATCCGATAGGGGAGAATATGAATTTTTATCAACAGTTTTTTTCGGGCTTGACGCAAGCATCCGTTTCTTCTTTAAACGTCTTTCCTCGAAGGTCAATACTTTTTGCTTAACAGAGAAGGTATTTTTGAGAATAGAATTTTCATTAGCAAAGGCTTCAGTAGCAACTGTAGTTCCAAACACGTTGCCTTGAAACGCGGTCACGTCATGATTAATATCTGCTTTAAAGTATTTGCTTTTTACTTCAGGTGAGGTTAACATCGCGATTTTTTAATGATCCGCATTTATGTTATACATATATAAGGAAAGTCGGCGTCCCATGTCTTCCCCGGTACTGCAGTATCACCACTAAAAGGTGGACGGTCACGTGATAGGTCTCCGATTTTTAATTCAAATTATTTGCGCTATTTTGGTGAAAACAATATGCCGAAACTTCCTGACGACCATGCTCATATTATGTATTAATTGAGGATTCTCGCAATTCATCGTTCGCCGAAGTTGTTTCGGGAATTTTAACTTTACCAAAGGTTACCAGTAACTCTAAATCAGGCCACATGTATCAGAACTGGTTTAAAATGATAGTTAAAGGATTGCCTATTCCGAAAATCTCCGACGAAATCAGGTAATTTTAATTGGATCTGATAAAATTTTAGGCATAAAATCTAGATTTTGCAAAAATACCTACCTGCTATGTACTTACATACGTCCCAATTTGTGAGGTTTTTTGCATTTTGCAAAAAATTAATATCTCTACGCATTGCTTAATAGTATGATTGTTAGAATTAATTTAACTAATGTATCGATTGTTTAATATTGGACAATATTCAGACGAAATTTTGACACTAAATACTGCAATTGCAAAGTTTTATTATAATTATCTGCTTTAAAAAAGCACTTAGAATTAACTTATTAGATACATTTTACTACGTATATATTAAACTTTAGAATTAAGATTACAAATTAGAAGTTTTGAATCAAAATTGGAGTTTTTAAAGATATTAAATATTTTTTACCTAAAGCACCAAATATCAATTATATACATTATATATAGCTATATAGCTATATAGTTTTTGAAATTCGTACTTACGTACGTATGTAATTATGTAATTTTCATATATATTGAATTTCAAGCTTGGTAAAATCAATCTTAATACTGTTTATAGTTAACTAAAATGTTAACACCTTGTCAAAACATGTATACAATATTGGTATATTTAATACTTTTGATGCTTTTGGTAGGTAAGTATAGATTTATTACGTATTATTTAAAAAAAAAAAATCCAAAAAAATCCAAAAAAGAAAATTTTTTGAGATCTGATACGTAAGTATGTACGAACGTTATCTATAAATAGTAAGACTGGATGGAATATTGTCCGTGGGAAGAGTATTATGTGCCACTTGGGCTAATTTGATAGGCTGCACTTCCCTTAGAGCTACCGGAAATCGAATAATTTGTCGGTTATGACCTGAGTTTTCGAGTACATTTGACTTAATGTAAATTCGATACTTCAATTTTACGCACGTAAAAAAAAAAAAAATGTCAAACATTCCACCTAGCCAGTCTCCTCTATCCCGTCCTCCTCCTTCATCTCCAAATTCTCGACCCATCGCTCCTTATGGACCTCATAATCCCCAAACGCGGCCTCCAATGCCCGGTGTGAGTCCATCGCCACCTTTACCTGCAGGTTATCGCCCTCCAGGCTTCAGACCTGGAAATTTACAGAATCCTTCAGGACGTCCTTTATCATATCCAAATCAAACTGCTATGGGTCCTAACTATCAAGTAATGTCAGCAAATTCTACATCTCCTCCACCTGTTGAAAATCCTGAATCTCCAAGTCAACGTTCTCAAACTCCGCCTTCGACAAGTCATAAACCAAAACGTTTATATCCAAAGGAAATCACTGAGGTCTATACTGAATCTAACGCGTACGGCAATCAATATCAACCTTTTACTCCTGCAGTAGCACCTGGTGGCATTGGACAGCAGATACAGCCACCAGCCATTGATCAGAATGCGTACCAACAGTCTCAATTCTTTACCCCAGCTGGTGATCAGAATTATCAGGCAGCAGCGCCTTCGATGGCACCCACTCAATATTCTCAACAATATCCTCAACAATATCCTCAACAATATACTCAACATCCTTCAATGAATGCTTCAATGGGTGGTTTGACGAATCAATTAAATAATATGAATCTCGGAGGTCATTCACAGGTGCATATAACTATTTTCGCGTAAATTTCGATCTGATAGGATTAATTTAAAAAATCGATCATATTTGAATAAAGGCTCAATTAATTACCGTTAACTTGATCGGTACTTTGCCAAATGTCGCAGACTTGGATGCACCGCCACCACCTATTAACCTACCACCTAATGTAAGTCTAATAAAATTAATTATCATTCATTCATGTATCTGAATAAAAAAATAGTTTAGTATTGAATTTCATCAATGTTCACCGCCTTTTTCTGATTTAAGTCATCTGTCACTCAATCGGACAAAGCAAATTGCGAACCATCTTATAAACGATGTACGGTCAACTGTGTTCCCACTAATGCAAGTCTTCTCAGCAAGTCCCGGTTACCATTTGGTCTTATCATTACCCCCTATAGAAGCTTGAAAGAGGGTGATGTGAGTATTGTACCATTTATTATTCATTTGTTGCGTATATTCAATTCATTATATTAATCTTTTGTCATATTTGTAGGAACCAGTCCCTGTGATTACAGATACCGTTATTGCAAGATGCCGAAGGTGCAGGACCTATATTAATCCTTTTGTTACTTTCGCTGAAGGTGGACAAAAGTGGAGATGTAATTTATGCTTCTTGCTAAATGAAGGTAATATTATAAAAGTTGAATTTTTCATCACTTTATGCTCAATTTAACATTAATATCCATTTATAGTACCATCACAATTTGATTGGGATATACAAACTAGTCAACAGGCAAATCGATGGAAACGAGCGGAACTGAACCACGCTGTTGTTGAATATGTAGCACCTACAGAGTATATGGTAATTAAATAATTTGTATACGAATTTATCACAATTTATATATATATATATATTTCATATTAAATTCTATTTTTATTATATAAAGGTTCGACCACCTCAACCACCAGTTTATTTATTTGTGATTGATGTTTCATTTCCTGCCATACAATCCGGTACGTAGTATTTATATTTCGGAAATAGATTTCTTATATTCTGTTCATTAAATAAATAAAGACGGAATTATATATTTACAAAAGCATCAAATGTTTACGTATATTTCTTAATAGTCTTATATATTTAAATTATACATATTTTACGTTATTCAAAATATCTAATTACTATTGCATTATTAAAGGTGCTGTTGCAACTGCTGCAAGGACTATTTTGGAATCACTAGATCGAATACCTAATGAAGAAAATCGTACAAAGATCGGGGTCATTACTGTGGATACATCATTACACTTTTACAGTCTTAATGTACCTGTTTTATTTTTTTTCTAAAATAATCAAGTTTTTTTTGAAGAATATTCATTATTAAAACATACGCTAAATTTTTTTAGTCTAACTCATCTGAACCTCAAATGTTGGTTGTTTCTGATCTTGAAGACGTATTTCTTCCACAGCCCGATGATTTATTAGTAAATTTAACTGAAGCTCGTCCAGTGATTGAATCATTGCTTAGTCGTCTTGGTGATATGTTCAAAGATACACACACTGTCGGCAACGCTCTAGGGTCCGCCATGTTGGCTGGCTTCAAATTAATTGTAATATATTTAATAATCTTGGTTTTTTTTTATTTTGGTTTTTATATGTTTATTTATATTTTCATTGATTATTTGCAATAGTCTCCGATAGGTGGTAAGATTATAGTATTACAGTCTAGTCTACCAAATATTGGTCCTGGGCAACTGAAAGCTCGAGAAGATTCGAAAGCATTGGGGACTCCAAAAGTATTTTATACATTACCTTATGGTATCGAAAGCGTGTTTGGGCATTAAATTTATCATTAAACTATTTGTACAGGAATCTGCTCTTTTACAATCTGCAGAGCCTTTTTATAAAAAATTTGCTGTTGATTGTTCTCGATCTCAAGTTTCTGTCGATATGTTCTTACTTGGATCACAGTATTCTGACGTAGCTACATTAAGTACGCTTATATAAAAAGTTATTTATAATTGATGTTCACGGATTTTTATTTATTTATTTATTCGTTTATATTTATTTATTTTATTTATTTTTTTATGAAATACAAAGGTTGTTGTCCGCGTTATACTGGTGGGCAAACATTTTTTTATCCTGCATTTAATGCAGGTAGGTCAGAAGATGCCCTTAAGTTTGCCCATGAGTTTGCAGAATTTTTGGCCAGTCCAATTGCATTGGAAGCAGTAATGCGTGTTAGAGCTTCAAAAGGTAAAATATTCCTTAATAAATATTACTGGTGGAAATTCAATTTATTTTTTTTAATTATGCATACGATCAGTTCAAATGTCAATTAGGTTTACGTATGACTTCGTTTTATGGCAATTTCTTTGTTCGTCAAACGGATTTGCTCGCTTTGCCGAGTGTTTCAAGGGATCACTCTTATGCCATTGAAGTTAGTATAGAAGAAAACATAGCGACACCAACTGTCTGTTTCCAAACTGCTCTTTTGCATACAACTTGTTTTGGTATAGTCACAATTTATACTTTCTCTTTCATATTTATTATTAAGCAAACTCCTTTTTTTTAAACTTCATCAATATCTCTTTTTCCTAAAAATTTATATAGGTGAAAGAAGGATTCGTGTATTGACACTGTCGTTGCCAGTAACAAATAGTATAACTGAACTTTATTCTTCAGCTGATCAAATAGCTATATCGACACTATTGGCAAATAAAGGTAAATTTAGAGCACATTTGTTAAATAAAGATTCATATGTAATTTGTGTAATTTACAGACTATTTATTTTACTCTAATAAGCGGTGGAAAGGTCATTATCCTCTAAATTGGAAGATGCACGAGATGCGTTAACAAATAAAATGATTGATATTTTGGGAGTATACAAATCATCTATTACTGGGTCTCAAGGAGCTTCACCCCAATTACAAATTAGTGACAATATGAAATTGTTACCTTTGCTGGCACTTGGGCTGCTGAAACATGTATGTTTTTTTATTCCTTGCTTTATTTAATTTTTAATTTTTTTTTTCTCATTGTTTTTCGTATTTTAGGTTGGGTTGCGCGCTAGTTCACAAATTCCAACAGATTTACGGGCTTATGCGATGTGCTTATTGACAACAATGCCATCTCAATTATTGATTCCATATCTACATCCACGTTTTTATTCATTACATAACATGCCTATCGATGTAAGAAACTTATTCCTGTGAATTAAAGTTTTAATATAAAATATAATTGGATTTTAATACAATATTTATTTTAATAAGGTTGGAACATATGGACCCGATGGAATAATTATGCCACCGCCTTTAAATTTAAGTAGTGAAAAATTAGAACGCCATGGAGCATATTTATTAGAGGATGGTCAAAATATTTTTATTTGGCTTGGTAGACAAGTAGTTCCTCAATTGTGTATGGATTTATTAAATGTTCGTTCATACGAAGAAGTCCGTTCTGGAAAGGTATGTTATATGTCAGATAATATCATTTTTATATATTATTATTATTTAACATATATAATTTTTGAAAATCTAGGTTACCTTATTACAATTAGACAATTCATTCTCACAACAAGTGAATGCAATTATTGGTAAAACTCGAGAATCACGGCGAGGTGTCTATTATCCTCATCTTTATATAGTAAAAGAAGATGGTGGGGATCCATCATTACGATTATGGTTCTTGTCACACATCATAGAAGATCGTACAGATACAGTAATGAGTTATCAACAGTGGTTAGGGCATTTGAAGGATAAGGTAAGGTGGAACAAATTTAAAGAAAAGGATATATTAAAATTCTTAATGTTACTAACCAACAACTTTTTTTTTTTAACATTTCTTGCTATTTTTATAGATTAACTCTGGTTCATTTTAATTGATAGAATAAAAAATAATAAATTTGTTATTTTATTTGATATATTTGATATATATACTTTTATTAAATCTATTTGTTGCTTAGATTGTTATATATGGACTTTTTTCATTTAGGTAATCTCTAGATTAATTTGTGGGATCATTACGATAGACGTTTGAATTATAATAGGAAATGAAACCATCAAATTATGTTGTAGATACAAATTTCCCCCCCTTTTTTTTTTTTTTTAAAGCAAATTTATACAAAATTTGATCCATTTTATTTTTAGCGTTTTTTTTTTATAATAAAATTTAATATTTTTTATTGTTACAATTATATATATATAGTTGAAATCTAGGTGTTCAAATACAAAATTAACAGTAATTGACTAGTATCGGTTTAAAATCTTGGATAATTTATAGAATAAATAGTCTATCCCCTCCAAAATTTAACAATTTAGTGTTTAATGTTGATATGTATAATTTACTGTATAATAGTCAATTGTAGACCTTTTGTTTAATGTTTTTATTTTAGAAATTATTGAATAACACAATCTTTGTCTTTATCAGGACGTTTTTCCTTTTTTAATTGGTTTAGTTCATTATCTTTACGAGTAACAACAGTATTATCATCACCAAGTGCCAGCCTTTTCCTTGCATCCTCATCCCCATGAGATGCAGCCTATTTCGAAAAAACCATTAATTTTTTACAATTAAAATAAAATTAATATAATGCATACTTAGTTAAACTAATTAATATGTATTAATATGTATTAAAACATACCTTTGTATACCAAATCATAGCAACGCCAGGATTTTTAGGAACATGAATTCCATTTTCATGAAAATAACCCATAGCAAATTCAGCCGTGGGTAAACCTTTTAAAGCAGCTTTTTCAGCATGTTCATAAGCAAGAGCTTCATTTTGTTCAAAATTTTCGGCACCACATAGATACCATTTACTTAAAGCCATATCAGCTTCAACATAACCTTTTTCAGCAGCTCTTTTATAATATTCAACGGATAAAATTGGATCAGATTGATAACCTAAAGAACCAAATTCATAACATTGACCAATTTTAAATAAAGCTGGAATATGACCTAAATTTGCAGCTTTAAATATTAATTCTCTTGCTTCATGATCATCAGGAGCTACAAGTTCATCAGGAACATCAGCTCTATCCCATTCTTTCGCTAATATCATTCCATAAACATAAGCGCCATCAGGACAATCTTCATTAGCATTTGAAGCAGCTTGTTTTAAATATATTAATGATTGTCTATAATCTACACCTTGTTTAAATTCACCCAACATATATACTAATGAAAGTCTCTATTAAAATAAAAATAGAAATATTAATACAAAAAGATATAATAAATATATATATATATAAATAATAAAAAGATATAAATGTAAAAATATGTAACAAACATACATATAATGCAGCTACTTCACCCTGTACAGCAGCTTTTTTATAAAATTGTATAGCACGTTTATAATCTTCTTTCTTTTCATGATAAAAAGCAACTTTAAATTTAGCTTTTGGAAAATCTTTTTTTGAAGAAGTTTGATAAAGTTTGAAAGCTTTATCATCATTCTTTTCTTTTCCATATAGACCATATTCATACCAAGTACCCTTAATATATAAAGCTTCAGGATAATCATTTTTTGCAAGTAATTTAATCCAATATATAGCTTCTTGAATTAATTTAGTAGTAGTAGCATCATCTTGATCCAAATTATTATCCAAATTATTATCCAAATTATTATCCAAATTTTTAGAAAGATTTGAATTACGAAGTTCAATCATATGTAAAAGAAATTTAGCATATTGAATTTGAATAGCAGGATCATTAGTTTTTTTAGCAGCTTCACGATATTTTTGTATAGCACTTTCATCAGAAGCAAGAGTTTTTGAAG